TCAGCCCCAATCACCAGGCTCTGGGGTTTTACGACCATAATTTATTGACTCCAGAGCCCAGGCCTGACCGGCCTTTTGTTTGTTGAGGCTCTGCCTGCAGGCTGTGGCCGGGCCGCCCTCGGCCCTCTTGGGGCCTCTGCAGGAAGGGAGGATGGGCAGTCCTGCAGTTGTCACCTGACCTCCTGCCCAGCAGGCCCCCTTCCCATCAAATAAAGCTCCTCTCCTGGCGAGAACGCTGCAGCCTCCTCTCCTTCCGGTGCAGGAGGGAAACGGGCATGGGGCCCCACAGGCAGCAGGCGCCCCTCCTACGACACCGGGCAGAGAGAGCCCCAGAGGGGAAGGGAGACAGTGAGTCACCTCCTGGCCTCCTCTACGGCCAGGTGTGCACCTGTCATCCCAGCACTCTGGGGGGCGAGGCAGGAGGATCGCAAGTTCAAACTCAGTCTGGGCAACTTTGCAAGACCCTGTCTCAAGAAACAGAAAATGGCTAAGGGTGTAGCTTCAGTGCGAAGGCCCTGGTTTCAGTCCCCACAGCTGCAAAAAGAACAGTTAAGGCACGTGTTCAGGGGGTGCCAGGAAACACGAGGGCCGTGCTGCAGCAGCGCTGTGCGCGATTTCCACCCCTCGGGGGGCCCAGGCCTGCAAGCCAGCTCGGCCCGGGAGGGAAAGGAAGTTGGGGAGGGGGCGCACCCCCAGGCCCCCAGGCCTGCCGCCCTCCGTGTTCAGTTCGTCCTCCGAGGCAGGGCTACGTGGGCACGGGGTGCTTGTCTTGGAAGAAGCGCTTGAGTGTGCAGACCTGCAGCACGGCCACCAGCAGCAGCGCGGCCACGTTGACAGCAGACCAGAAGTTGACCCGCTCCAAGTTGCCCTCCTGCAGGTTGCGGTCTCGAGCCTCTAGGGCCCGCAGCAGCGTGAGCACCTGGATGCTGCGCTCCAGCCGGGTCCTCATGGTCTCCATGGATTCCTGCAGGTGGAGGGAGGGGCGGGGAGAGCGGAGAACACAGAGCCTCATCCTCCCTGCCACCCACCGGCCCTGTGACCTCTCTGGGCCTCGGTTTCCTCTTCCGTGAGCCTCAGCACAGATGTGAAAATGAAATGCTAGGGCTGCAGGGTCGTTCGGTGGTAGAGGAGGCGCTGGGCAGAGGCAAGGCTCTGGGTTCGATCCCCAGGACCCTCCACCGAAAGGCTTAACGATCAGAACGGATTCACTATTGGATAAGAGGATAGTTGCAAAGGCCACGCTACCAGCTCTGCCAGCTGCTAACTGTGTGGCCTTGCAGTCCCGTGCCTCAGTTTCTCCCTCTGTGAAAGGAAAACACTTGGAGCACAGGACCTACTTCAGGAGTAGTTATGGAGATTGGTGATAGATGAGTTATATAAGACAGACATGAGTTAGCCGGGTGTGCTGAGCACACCTGTAATCCCAGCACTCTGGGAGGCTGAGGCAGGAGGATCCCAAGTTCAAGCCCTGGCTGGGCAACTTAGCAACACGGTGAGACAGTGACAATAGGGTTGAATCCTAGAAATGAACTCAACTGAGGCACCATCTAAAGTTGAGGACGCCGCTATAAGGGAGGGCTGGATAGGGCCCAGGCGGAGACCCCAGCCAAAGAGGAAGGGTCGCAGCACCCCTGCTGCCAGTGCTGCCATCTGGGAGGAGTGACCAAGCCCAGCCCGGGGGCACCTTGATGTCCTCCATTTTGACGTCCAGCATCTCCTCGGGTTCCACAGCCTCCGCCCAGCCCTCTACCTCCTCATCATCTTGCAGGCTGTCAAAGATGAGTTCGAAGAACACCAGCTTCTCCGAGATGGTGCTGAAGGAGTTGTCAAAGCACAGCCTGTAGTCGCCGGCCTCTGTGGGCTCCACTCTGATCAGAAGAGACCCAGGCAAAGACTTGACCCTGGCGGCCAGCACAACTCTGGGGCAGCCTGGGCAGTAACCCGAGGCTGCCAGGGCGGGGCGGGACGTAACTGAACCGGGGCCGCAGTAGCCTGAACTCACGTGTGCACCCCATCCGCCTTGCGGGCCTCACTGACCAACAGTACACCCTGAGGGCTCTCCAGCGTGAAATCCACGTCCAGCCCAGCACCTCCTATCACCTGGGGACAGGTAAGAATGGGTGGAGAGACACAGCTGGGCCAGGGCCCCCGCCAGAGGAGTCCCAGGATGAACCACATGGCCCGCTGAGGGTCATTCTGAGCGCTGCCACCTAGACACATCACTGGGTCCCGGCCCCCGGCTGTGCCCCTCCGGCCGTACCCGCGCCCTCGCCCTGCCTTCGCCCGCAGGGACTGACAGAGCGGGATCTTTCGCTGGTCACGCCCCCGCCGAAGAAGTCCTAGACAGTCGGACGCTTACCTGGTCACCTTTACTTGACACCGCCCCAAAAGGGACTCCAAGGCGGCGCTTTTCCTTTAATCCCACCTCTGCGATCTCCTGCGGGCTACGCCCTTCTTTTAACCTACAGTTCTGGCCACACCCGACCTGCGAGTCCTGCTCTCTGAGTGGCTCCTTTACTTCCGGTGGCCCCGCCCCCAGGCTGCGCCCCTCCGGCCCCGCTTTCACCACTGCCAGCCCCTCCTGGCCCACTAGTCCCGCCCTGTCACTCCCAGCTCTCCCCGAGCTCCGCCCCCGCGTCACGCAATGGCTCCGCCCACCTCCCGCTGTGCTGCACGCTCGCTCCCTCCCCTTGGCCCTCGCTAACTCAGCGGCTCGGGACCCCTCTACCTGGTACTCGGCCTCGAGGCTTGCGTTGGCTGGCGCAGACTGGTAGAAACATTGCTTCCTCCCCGCGGGCAACAGAAACGTAAACTCGCCGTCCTGGATCGGAGGGGGTCCTCCCACTCCCACCCCTACTGGCGGCAATAGTAGCCACAGGGCCAGGGCGAGGGCCACGCCGGCCGCCATAGTCTGGGTCACTCTCTGGTCTGCTAACAAGTTGCGGCTCCTTTAAGGACTAGCCCTGCCCCCTCAGCTACTCGCCGAAGCTCATTGGCTGCCACTGCTGTACGTTGTCTGAAAACGAAGAGCGAAGGAACAACCCCATCCCCACCCCGCGGGACGAGCTGCCCGCGTCGGTGCCTACAGCGCCTAAAACGCTCAGCGTATTGTTTCCTGAAGGGCCTCTGGCTCTAATCTCAATATTTGGTGGTGGTGGTAGTAAATATCAAAAATAAGTGCCATAAAGGTGCATCTTTCACAGGCAAAAGTTAAGATAACTACGGTGGAAGGGGCTAGGTCCTTCTAAGGGGCCGCCATGCGGTTTTCCCAGAGTACACGGCGCGGGCGAGAGCTTTTGAACGAACAGATTGGCGGAGCCGGCCAGCAGTGCGACTGGGCGTGGCCCTGCAGACGACCCGTAGGGCTCGAGCGTAAAATGACCCACCTGGGTTGGGTAAAGATACCTGATACTGAAGTTGAGGGGCTACCTGTGGTGGTTGACGGTGGCTCCCCACCTGGGACTCGACACCTGACCTGTCATTCTTTTTGCGCCTTAGACGCGAGTTTTGACGTCTGTAAGTTGGAAGCAGTGGAACACCCACCCTGTAGGGGAAGATGGTGAGAATTGTGTTAGATGAGATTTGGCCTGTAGTGAACACTCGGCTACCCTGATGTAGAATTGAGAGGAGAGCCTGGCGTGGTGGCACACACCTGTATTCCGAGCACTCGGGAGGCTGAGGCAGGAGGATTGCAATGCGTTCGAGGCCGCCTGGGCTACACAGTGAACTACAAAGGGAGACCCTGCCTCAAAAAAAAAAAAAAAAAAAAAAAAAAAAAAAAA